GCAATGGCTTTTACCTGCCCTTAGGATGAACATAAACTCCCTAGGCTTTCCTGAACATGTGATAGAGAAGTCTCCCCTAACATAACATAGAGAGGTCTCTAGCTTCCTCTCCAGACACAACAAGGAATACCTGTCCATTGCATCTCCGCACCACTGCCACAGTCCTTTCCGATTCTAGAGTGTGGTGTACCACATCCCAACACAAGACCTGTGGCCACCAGCCTGCTCTCTTCTGAAGCACAGGGCTGTCTCATACCTGTTCCGGGAAATCACCTCCATCATATCTTCCTCAGAAAGAACTTCTCCAACTGCCTGCCGAGGTCAAGTCCCCTCCTCCATTCATCAGAACCTCCATGAGTTCTATTTCCACCTCTACAGAATAACTGGAGCAGCCTTGAAACACTTCAGTAGAATGTTAGCCCTGCCAAGCCAGAACCTGTACTCTTTAAACCTTGCTCAGCTTAGTACAGACTTTGAGTAAAGGTCTCTTGAACAAATTACAGTTCAAATGAACCATAAGATTCAAACCTAGGTGGATTGTGTCACTGAGGCCCTTCTGCAACTATGTGCCTTCTTCAAGGAGTCACCATGAAGACACCATGGATGCTCGTGCAGGGGCCAGGCCTTGGCCCCTTTCCATGCCTTCTTTGAATGTCTGCAGTTCAGGATAAACGGAAGGTCTGTCTCTTTGTTTTGCTCTCTGCAACCTCAAGTCCCGTGTAATGACACAAAAAGATACACAAACCCCACCCCTCCTCCCAGCCCTTACAAATAACAGAGCAGCTACTGTATGTGGAAAGCCAGCTGCCCAAACTGAGAGTATTAGCATCTCTCAGCATGTAGAAAGATTGGATTAACTTGCTTGTCCTTGTGAAGACATTAATATTGTTCTGTCACCAAGAAGCTGAAACTCCCAATAAATCTCCATTTACAGGCAAATTTGTAGATGCTTAGTGTAGTCATAATAATAGAGTTGTAATTCTTATTGAGCATGCTCAGAGTGGTGGAATATTTATAGCATCCTGCTCAATGTTACACACTTGGGGACACAAATTACAAACTCTTAGAGTTTGGGGGAAAGTTTATAAAAAGGGTGACAATAGAAATAAAATCTAATTTGGGGGGAATTATGGTGGGAAATTACTCAACCAAATTAGAAATCATTTTTATTCACTTCACAGATGGGGTCCAGACAGACTGAAGAGAAAAGATGGATAGCTTTCCTGTAATGCAGATAATGAACTACCAGGTACACACCCATTGCCATTTTCTCCAGAGTTAGATTGGCGTGAGAAGGGTCACAGCTATGTCATGAGCAACAGAAGAAAAACAAAATCTCACTGACCCCCTTAGCAACAAACTTCACTTTTCACTGTGCATCTGTGGTTCAGTCCAGCTCAGGGGTTTGAACTCAGCCAGACTGGGCCCAGGTGACAATTCATACTCAAGTGTGCTTCACGTGTTTGTGGCCGGCAGATCCCCACAGCACATTCTTCTCATGGCGGTAGCAAAAGTCACAAGACAAACCCAAACATATCAGCACTTTTCAAATGTGCACCCTGACCCACCACCCTCCGATGTCCAGGAGGCCAAAGTAAATCCCATTCTCAAACTTTAGGTCAAGAGACAAGCAATGGACTCTACCATGATGGGGACAAAGCAAAGCTCTAGATTTAATAATTTAATAATTCCATGATAGAAGGTCTAAATCCACCCAGCTGCTCTTACAAAATAACATAAACTGGCTGGTTCATGTACAATAGAAACCCATTTCCCACAGTTGTGGGGACTACCAAGTTCAAGTTCAAGGCAGATTCACTGTCCACTTTCTGACCCGTATACAGCCGTCTCGCTCTCTCCGAGTATTCACTCAATAAACGAAATAAGAGGTAGTCCTTAGGCCCTTTAATAGGAACGTTCCTTTCATTCAGAAAGGCTCTGTCCCTGTGGCCTGGTCATCTCCCAGGTGTCTCAATTCCTAATGCCATCACCTTGGGGACAGGGTTTCAAAACAGGAAGTTTGAGTGGCCACAACATTCAGACCATTTCACAAGAAATGATTACACAATCAAAGATTAAATCTATTGTAGAGGGCCAGAATTTTTCAAGTAGTGACAAATGTTTTGCTTTGTTTCTGTAGGCACACACACACACACACACACACACACACACACACACACACACACACACACACGAGGTGGGGTGGGATTTATAGCCATTTTGTCTGTCCAGTCCTGGTAATACTGGCAGTTTCTCTTTGGGGAACATCTTTCCCTTCTGTATAATGCAAATGAGGCCCATCTTACCTCTGCTTTTCTGGGACAGCAAAAACAAAACCTAAAGTCTGAGACCAATCAAGGTTATCCATCCTTTTGTCTGATTAGCTCAGAGGTGATCATGTGACCCAGAACACTCCAAAGAGGGTTAAGCCTGGGACCTTAGCTGTAACCACACAGGCACAGCCCACTAGAGCTTGGTGACATCTCTGTGGTACACTGTTTCATGGGAGGCCTTTCTCTTTTCGTGTTGAGCCCTGATTTTCAGGGGATTCTAACCCCATCACCCAGATAAGCATCTCTTTTTTAAGATAGGATGAGTCGCTTTTATGTTGGGTCCTGCCAAAGTCTTTCTGTCACTGAGTGACTTCCTACAGTCTTAGCTCTGGGACTCAGAAAGCTAGACAATCATCTCAAAAGCCTCACTATTGTCATAGCAACATAGTTAAATTATAATGTTCTAAAATTTTTAATGCCACCATTTAAATAGAAGCCAGAAATGTTTTTTTTTTAACTGCATTAAGAGCCAAACCAAAAAGAGAGTCTAAGAAAAGTAAATTAAATGCATAAGTGCTAACATTATTTGTGTTGGAAAAACAAACATTGCAGGCCGGATAATAAGAAATATGAGTAGGTTGATAAAAAGATTGGGTATTTTTCTGTAATTGACTTTCCCGCTGCTCCAATTAATAGTGAATTTATTATAGGTTCTGCATAGTGCTTGGAACACTGAGTCTTCTGTCTTGAAACCTCGGGGCAGACAAACATTTTAGGTGATTAAAAAAAAAGCACATTTAGAAAATGATGTTCTGGGAGCCTGCGGGAAGCTATCCATGCCATTCTTCACAAGTTCATTATAGAAGATGAATAAACGTCGAATTAACTTTGCTTCCTCTCATAAATGGCGGGAATGGAGACAACAGCACAAACACTGAGGCGTGACTTGTTCTCTCTCAGCCCTGGTGGCTTCTGGCTGCCATCACAGGCAAAGGAGGCTCCCAGCTAAACTCCGGAGGTGGGGGGAGTTGCTGGAGTCATATCCACCTATCCACTGTGAGCATCTCTTGTGTGAAGGGCAGAGGGGGGAGGGGCGGGAAGAGAGTGGCGGCAAGGACTCTCTCCACTTGTCCCCACGACTTCCCGATTCGATGCCCTCCCCACACAACCTGTAAAATCGAAGTCTTCAAAACCCAGACACACAGAACTGCCTGCTTGATCCCCCACTCCTACAGCTCAACCTGCTACCTGTCCCTTGCTGCTGTTGGCTTTGAGCATCGCTTCATTCCTCTGTGCAGTAAATCGGCCTCCCAGCCAGAGGCTGCCAACTGACTCATGCTTCTCATGCCTGAGACTCAGTGCATGTAGACTATTGGACAGTCGCCATGCTGCCAGGGAGGGCAGATCTCATCACAGGAGGTGAAGGAAGCAGGTATGAGCAACGCAGCAGCTTCCTAGGGCCCTGTTTCCGCCAAGGGAACCCGCCTCACCTTTGCAAAGCAAGTCACATGACTTCAAGTCACACAGCAAAGAATAACACAGAGAGGGGGAAAGAATTGGAATTCAGTCTGCCACATCTACTCCCATATGTATCCCTGCGTTT